CGGGGGGCCGGTCTATTGCCGACCCGGGTCTGGACAGCGGATGAACGGAGCCGGGGCCGCTCACGGGGAAGATGCCTCTCGTCTGCGCTCGACCGCGGGCGGCCGCGGAGCATGCCGGGACTGGCCTGACGCTGGCGTCACGCGCGGGGCGGGGCCTCCGCCTGCGTCAGGAGCCGGGGCTGGGTTTCCATGCTCTCGGCACAATGGGCTGCCCGCTCGGCGTTAGGTTTCTCGGCCGGGGTTATCAGGCGTTGGGCTCTGAGCCGCTAGGCAGCAAAACCCCGGGCGCCTCCTCCGTAAGAACCTGAGCCTTGCCACGCCCCTTGGGACATTGACGCTTTGGCTCATCTGATCCAGAGGGTCGTAGGGCTCTGGCTTCAGTTAGGGCTGAGTTTTTTCTGAGAAGGCGAGAAAGGCACCCTGAAATAACCCCAGGATCAGCCTTTTAATTTGGCCTGAGTCTGGGCGAGGTGGATTAACTTGGTCCAAGTTGGATTAACTTGGCCTTGATCTTGGAGCCTCTATGAACTGGAACCATATAGTTGGGTTGGCAACTAAATTCCCATTCCTGGTGTACGGAGATCACAGTTTTCAGGACAAACTCAGATAAGATAGTTAGGTAAGACAACTGTGACATTTACAGAGTTATTTTTAGGTCAGATGTTTGACCATACTGAGAATTACTCAAAGCCAGATTAGCGTCTGGGGTGAAGATGAATGGGAAGAAAAAGAAAACAGTTTTGAGGCTCAGCGTTGGGACGACAGGATGCCTGCATCAGGGTACTCCCAAGTGGGCCCTAAGAACTCACCACTGCTACCCTGAAACCTTTTTTGTAAAAGTCTGTTTCTTTAATGAGAATGAGATGGAGAGAGGCAAGTGCCCCCAACAGGGTCCCACCCTCCGATCCCATCCCTACTGGCCAGCCATCATCCTGGGTGCTGGCACCCAAACCTGATCCTCTGTATGGATCCATCATCACTTAAGTAGCACATTATTGCTGTATGCAAACCAGCCAGCTCCCTTGGAACCTGCAGTCACCATATTTTAGAGAGGTTCTTTCCACTGCTAAGTGAATGCTGAAGACTAGATAATGAATGAGTAATTTATTTGAACCTCCTAATTTTCCTTTATGATGAAGGAAAATAGGTAGGGATTTGACCTTCAAATCAGTGTCTTCCCTGCAGCACTAGTACATGGTTAATACATTTATTAGTAGTAAATTAAATTGTTAATGGGACTCAATTATCATTAAAAATGTTTCACTGTCTCATTAGCATGAATTTGCATCCCAGTTGTTCAGAAAGAACCTACTTACCTTTGTTAATCACAAAATAAATACTTCAGGGTTAATAATAAAGTTCCTGGTGGTTAAGGGCACTGGACTCCCACAAGGCCAACAACGGTTCAAGTCCTGGACCTGGTAGCTTACTTTCTCATTTTCCCTCCTTCTGTCTCACTCTGTCCCTCTCTGATCAAATTAAAGTATATAAATAAATATAATGATTACTTTTTAAATAATTATAATAATGAAGTTCTTAAACTAAAAAAGACTGTGGTGGGGATCAAGTTTAACAATACAGCAAATAAGTTGATGCAACATTTTCCAGACTTAGGCTTTTTTTTTTTTTTTTTTTTGTCTAGGTTTTTGCATGCACTTGCTGGAGAAAGGCAGAGACAGAGAGATAGAGAGAGGAAGAGAAAGTGAGAAATCACACCCCAGGGGGATGGCCATGTTGCAATCCCTTCTCCTCCAGTCTGTTGGGATTCTGGACACTCAAGCCACAAGTCAGGGACTCAAATTGCTAAGTTGGCTATGTGGCATTCAGTGCCTTAACCTCCATGCCACCTGCTGGCTCCATTTTTTTTTTCCCCCCGGAGAGGTTTTTGCTATAGGGCGCGTGCGCTCGCCAGACAGACAGAGACAGAGAGACAGAAAGCGCGATTTCAACTCCCAGGGGGGATGGCCACGCCACAATCCCTTCTCCATTCTCCTCTCGGGATCTTGGGCATGCACGCACACGCGCCTGGCGTGAGTTTTAAGCCACCGGGTCCAGGACAAGAACGGCAGTTGACTACGTGGGAGTCCAGCGACATAGCCATTACGCTAACTGCTGGTCTCGCATTCTTTTTTTTTTTTTAAGGTTTATTTCTACCATGAGAGAGAGGTAGAGTCAGGCAGCACCAACATGGTATTACACCTCAAAATCCACTCCTCGCCTCAGCCAGCGGAATCATAGGCACACTCACATCCCGCCTGTAGAAGTCGTCAAGACACAAACCCAAGATTTCCCATGTGGTTCAGAAGCACAGTCGTTTTATGTTTCATTTGCCAGGGGGCAGCACTCATGGTGCCCCCACAAACTCTGAACGGGGCATGGCCATACACAATTGCTTACCACACATTTCTCCACCATATTTAAATTTCAACTAAGTACACTCAGGTGCCTGACATGTTTTTATAAGCCACTAGGGATAGGATTTGAACCACACCATCGGCCATGTGGGGCCCAGCTGCCTTAACCAGAAAGCCAGAGAGCCAGCCCCACAGTGCATTTTGTTATTACTGTGCCATCTTGACTGGACAGGGCATGTTTTTGGTTTTGTTTAAAGAATTATTTCCTTTATTTATCATTATTGTTATTTTTAAATTTGACCAGAGCAAGACACAGAGAGAGAGATAGAAAGCAAGAAAACAAGATGCCAAGAACTTGAACCGCGGTCAAGGTTCCAGAACTTGAACCGCGGTCACATGGGAGTCCAGTGCCTTTAACCACCGCCACCTGCCCATCCCCAGGGCATGTTTTTTTGAAATCATGTACTACAAATGAACACTAGTTTATGTATTCCTCCTTCCAATTTGTGGAGAAACAATTGATATACTAATACTTTCACATTTTAGATAATATCTCATGCTTTTGTATAAATTGTATTTTTTATTAAATAGATGATGAAGAATTTTCAAATATATTTTGTAATTATAAATGCTTTAATAGTAAATTATGAAAAATTATTTTAGGAATTATACTAGTTTGTAATTGTTTTGTTTTGTTTAAGAATTATTTACTTGATTTTATTTATTTAATTTTATTTATTTGATTTTATTTATTTATTTTAATTTGACCAGAGAGATACACACAGAAAGGGAGAGAGAAAGTGAGAAAGCAAGCCACCAGGTCCAGGACTTGAACTGGGGTTGACCATGTGGGAGTCCAGTGCCTTAACCACCTGCTGGCCCCTTGTTTTAGGTTTTTTAAGTTTTTACCATGGGGTGCGTGGGATCGCTAGGAAGAGAAAGTAAGAAATGGCTCTCCAGGGGCCATGGCTGTATCACAATCTTTCTCCTCCACTCTCCTCTCAGGATTTTCGGCACACATGTGATGTGATTTTCAAGCCGCTGAGTACACGATCTGAACCGTTGTCAGCCATATGGGAACCCAGAGCCTTAACCACCATACCATCTGCCAGCCCCAACACTAGTTTGTAGTTTTAAAGAGTTCATTAGCAATTAGAAAGGAAGAGAAAAAAGGAAGAAAAAAAGCTGTTAGGAACCCAAGAATAAAACTAAAAAAAAAAAAAAAAAAAACAGGCAAGATCTTCATGAATGAAACTATGGACTATGGAGAGATAAAACACAGTCATAAGTAAGAAAATACAATTATTACAAAGGTCTTGATTCGTCCTGAACTAGTCAATATGTATAAGGTAATTCAAGATTAAATCCAATCAGGGACCAGCCAGTAGTGTGGTGGTTATGGTGACTAGATCCCACATGACCAACTACGCAGTTCGAGTTGAGACCCAGAGGCTTGAAAAACACGAGGCACATGTTCCCAAAATCCTGAGAGGAGAATGGAGGACAAAGACTGGGACTTGGCCAACCACCCTTGGGGGTGCTTTCTCACTTTCTCTTTCTCTTCTCTCTCCCTCTCTGTCTCTCTCTAGCAAGCACATACCCCCTATTGAAAATTCAAAATAAATCAATAAAAGCAGTCAAAGGATCAAAACAGATACCTCAGTGAGAAGATAAACAGATGTCAAAAAATATATAAAAACATGTTCAATATTATGTCAATATTGTGACTACAACTTTAAACAATGAGAAATCACTACAAACCTATTAGAAAAGCTATTATCGAGGACCAGCAGATGGCGTAATGGTTATGTCACTGGACGACCACATCGTTGACTGTGGTTCGAGTCCTAGACCCAGTGGCTTCAAATTCCCACCAGGCATGTGTGTGTGTGTGTCTCAAAAATCTTGGAAGAACAGAGGAGAAGGAATTGTGGCATGACCATCCCTCTGGAGGTTGAGTTCTCTCTATCTCTCTCTCTCTAGCACGTGCAATGCCCTATTGCAAAAAATCTCTCTCTCTCAAAAAGAAAAAGAATAACTACCATCCAAAACACTCAGAGTAACATTCTGAGGAAGAAGTGAAGAAATGGGAACTCTCATTCATCACTGATATGTTACTAACTGATACAGGCACCTTGGAAAACAATCCACAGTTTCTTACAACTGAAACGTTGTATCACCACACAAATCCAATAATCATGCTACTTGGTATTTACACAAATGGTCTGAAAATTTATGTCCACACAGAAACCAACACACTAATGTTTATAGTTTTTGTTCATAATTGTCAAACATTAGAAGCAACCAAGGTGTGCTTCAATAGGTAAATGGTTTAACAAAAACAAACAAACAAACAAAAAAACCCTGCTCTGGAAACCACATGGCCAGCTGCAAGTTTTGATTCTGAAATTTCAGTGGCATGTGCAGGTAAGACACTGTGCTCTACAGGGTGGGACCATCTCTGTAGCTTGCATTTAAGTCCCGGATGAACATAAAGGTCAAGTGGTGTCCTGCACCTGTCATATGGAAAACTCTGGAAAGCTGATGTAGGAGGATCATACGCTTGAGGCAGATCTAAGCAACATAGACTGAAAAAAAGCTGGGTGTGGTAGCATATACCTGGAGTCACAGCTGGGGGGCTGAGAAAGGAGAACTGCACAGTGAGACTGTTAAAAAAACAAACTGGGTCGAGTGGTGGTGTGAAGATACTGGATTCCCACACGGTTGGCCACGGTTCAATTCCTAGACCTGGTGTCTTG